GTCGATCAAAATTGATGAAAACAGAATTCCAACTCCTGATAAGCGTTCTTTTTTAAACTTCCTCTCAGTACGGTAAAAAAAAAAAACAATTTAAACCTTTAGACGAATAGTCCAACATGTATATTGAGACATCACAATCACAAAACATTCTCATTTACATAAAAGAGTTATGAGTAGTTGCTGCATTAGGTGGGGCATATAACGCACCCTATACTTAGAATTTTATGGTTTATGATGGCGCATGGACCACTTTTTAACTGATGCTGATGTTCTGGTGAAAAGAGTATTATTAACTAACCAGTAACTTTCTTTTAGCTGATTATGAGGCCGAGAAGCAGAGTTTGGGTAAGGCGGGCCTCACATTCTCGTGACAACTTATCGTAAATCACTTATTAAAAAGAACACAACTTTTTAACTTTATATCTATAATTAGTGGTCGGTTTGGCCCGTATAAGCACGAGTTTTTAATTTTTTTTTTTACTCGTGGGTCAAGCTCGGGTTTTTAATTTTTTTTTTTTAATTATAACTATACCTATTCTAAACCTTAAAAAAAAACCACAAGCCATTCGTCAAAAAAGAGCCGAGCAGGCTCGGCTAGGCTCGGGTTCGGGCTCGTGAAGCAGCTCATGAGCCGCTTTTTTACGGCTGCTCGGTTCGATTGCCACCTCTATCTATAATAGTAAAATTTACTTTTTCTTTGCTTGTTTTGTACAACCATACTGTATTAAGTAGGATGAAGACAGTTTGGTTTTGTTTTTCCATTTGTGGGTCCATTTTTATATTCGGTCGCTTGGCTCAATTGCCACCTCTATCTATAATAGTAAAATATACTTTTTCTTTGCTTATTTTGTACAACCATAATGTATTAAGTAGGATGAAGACAGTTTGGTTTTGTTTTTCCATTCGTGGGTCCATTTTTTTATGAATGGGCTTATAATCCATAAGGCATAGTCAGAATTGATGGGCCATCCGGCCCATGCTGTCATCTTCTAGCTAGCTGTAGCAATTAGCACACTGTGCTTTTATTAAATTCCCCTATTAATCTTTGTCCACTTCAATCAATTCATACCTCTGTGACTCTGTCTCTAATTTATTTTTTGAATCACTGTTTTTCATCGTAATAAGCTATAATTGTTGAATTATGCTCTTTGTGTACATGAAGTTTGACACTCCTTCACAAATTAAAAAATGGAGTGGCGGGAAAGTGTGTTGTATTTTTAAACTGGCCAATCGTGCTACAACATGTGGCACAATGTCAAAATTAATGTAAAAAATAATGTACTTGTAGCATGATTGATAATTGTTAGAGGTATCAGGTAATTTAGTTCGTATATTTCAAAAACCAGAATCCCTCATTAATATTTGGGTACTTCGTAAATAGAATAATTGGTTCT